CAAACTTATATTTAATATCTAAATCTTTGGAACAAGAAAAATATAAAAAAATAATTGAAATATTTAGTTTGTGTGATGAAGTGAAATTACACACGTTTACTGACTGTGAAATCACACCAAATGATGTAAAATCACAGTCAGTTGTTGTATTTGATGACATAAATAGTCCAAATATTACACAATTTTTCTCAATGGGTCGACATAAAAATATTAACTGTTTTTACTTGTGTCAATCTTACAGCAAAGTACACAAACATTTACGTGATAATGTAAATTTCCTAATATTATTCAAACAAGATGATTTAAATTTAAAACATGTATATCACAATCATGTTGGTAATGACTTTTCATTTGACCAATTTAAAAATCTCTGTCATCAATGTTGGGATAAAACTAAATACGGCTTTCTTGTAATAGACAAAGAAAGGCCAAAGAATAATGGCAAATATAGATTTATGTTTGACCAATTCTATCAAGAGGATGGTAAGGGTAAATAAATAAAAGACTGGAGTTTTTTAACATTTGTATTTATTATATATCTACACATTTTGAACATCAATTTTATAATGACCAAATGCAAGAGTGTTGATGCCATCTTCTAGAATAAACCTCTTGTCGTCGTCAAACGATAGTACTTTCTTGTGCATGGTTAAGGTTTGAAGATGATGGTTTGTAGATTTAATTCTCGTCACATTCTCATAGTAATCTTGCCCAGTTGCAAGACAGTTCAAATAATGTTGATGTCTTAGGAGATGTTTAACTGTGGCACCATCAGCTCCTTTAGCTTTCTTCACCTCTAAAGCTTGCTTGTCTTCTTCATATAACCATTTTAGAGGAATATAAGAATATAACTTTGGTCTTAAACCACAATATTCATACATAATATGACCATCTAATTCGTCTTTAAACTTTCCAGTGACTTTTTTATTTTTATCAGAGTATAAGAAATGGTCTTTACTATATCCAGAGGTATCAAAATGTTGTAAGTCACATTCTATTTCCTTGTAAAAATCCTCTGTAACTATAGCATACATTAATGAATCTGTATCTGTCATAAGAAATCTTTTGTTCTTAAATTTTGACATATAATTATAGTGAAAATCATACATTATTACTTTACTAATATCTAAAATGGTCATTCCCAAATATATTGGTTTATTAAACTTTACAACTAATTTATTTAAATGTATAGCATGTAAATTGTTATCAAACTTTTTGCTACAATCAAACCTTGGATTAGTGACATATTTTGTTAATAGTGACTCATCCTTGAGATAAATGTCACGAAACTTGCGTTGATTCATAATTGTTCGACCAAAGAGACTATTATTTAACAATTTGTAAAAGTCTTTTTCGAAATCAGTTTTAGCACTTTTTCGTTTTTCAATATTAAAATTAATATAGGGTGCAAGCCATTTAGATTGTCTAAATTTTAAAATTCTGTGGTATTTTGTAACAATCAAACCCAATTCCTCATATTTTTGTAATGCTTTATAATGTAAAATATATTTAGTTTTGTCATTTAAATTTGGTATTAATTTGCCATTCATTTTCTCTGGTGCTAATGGATAGTCATTATGTAAATCATGTAAGCTTTTATCATATTTTAAATCAACTTCTAAAATGTATCCAAACTCATCATTTTGATTATATTTGTAGTCCATCTCATTAGTCCAACGGAATTCATCCACAGGCAGTGGCTCGCACATAGCTGTGGAGTATAGCGAGTTACAATCTAAATATATTAAATACACACTCTCTTGATTGGGATCATAGTGTTCACCCATATATCTATTATTTGCTTTAGCGTAACGTGTAGAAATCATACTGACTCCTCCTCGAATCGCACTTTCTATGAACAAATGCATGTCAATATCTTTGAATAATTGTAATTTTATTCCTGTCATTCTAAGACAGGCCTCCCATGTAAGTCCAGGAAGTGAATACATATGTACAGGGTCAAGTTTGTAATCTTTTAAACACAGGTCTCTAAATGTCTCAAACACATCAGCCAGTAGCAATACATCTGTTTTAAGATATAAATCATGATATTCTTGTAAATTATTTATATTAAAATAGGTCCATACATTTTTAGCATGTTCATATTCATTGGGAGAGATATGTTCTTTAGTTATAGAACTGTAAAATGTTTCAATTGGGGGTAGAGACTCTGCGAACTTATCTGGTCCCGTCATATATTCATAGGGATATACACCTTTACGTTGTAGTAGTGGATTTTGTATGAATCTAAATGTGTTCAAATTGGAAGCCAATTTATATAATGGAAGGGACAGAAAGTTGTATGAATCTAAAAATACTAAATCATCAACAGAGAATGATATATATTTTTCCATATCTTTAGCTATGCAATTTAATTTACGATCATTAAACTTTCCCAAGTGTTGCATTATTAAATGTCCATCATAATTTTTCAAGTTATGGAAGAATACTGGTATTTTCTTTGTTACTTTATAATTTAAATTACAATCATTGTGGGCAGCTCCACGGTATTGGCCAGAGGAATGGCAATGATCTCTCACCCTATCAAAATATAGGGGCTTTTCACAAATGTGACAGTGTGTTGAGTTTTGGAAAGATGCCTCTTGCTCTGGAGTCATTACAAGGGGAATATATATTGCCATTTGACTTTTAATATAATCATAAGTCTCAAATAATCTTTTGAAAAACACATCTATAACATTTGCACCACTATATAACTCTTCAGAAATAATTGTAGAATCATTTACTACAACGAATGCAAATCCAGATGGAGTATGGTTGTTAGAGTTTATAAAGCATTCAAAATCTGCATAAATTACATATGGGGCTTTAAGTTGATATTTATAATTTTTAAATTGTAATGTATCTTGTTTAGACATTTCCACTCGTTGAGCATCAAAGTTTTTACAATATGTTGTGTGACGTTCTAATATATCATTAGTGTAAAAATGTTGCAAACACAACTTGCAAAAATGCTGCTTATGGACATGTTTTGTAGAGTGGAACATTAACCTATCAAAATCACGAATTAAACAATAATGTGATTTACGACCTTCTTGTAATAATAATAAATCTACATGAGTATTACTATTTAGTTTAGTCGTTCTTAATGGATATATACATTTCTGGTCTTCAACTCCAAATACATTAACACTTATATTATTCTGTGTTTCAAATTGATCTATATCAGATATTTTCACAGGATACTTTATGTTTGTCATATTCAACTGATTTTCATAGGGTGTATAGTTTGAGACCCTTTCAGCATGTTCATTAAAGTTCCTTGGGTATAAAGCTGCTAAAATCGACCAAAGAAAACATTTATTGTCTGAATTTTTTATATTTAGAACTGCATGTTTTGATTGAATACTTTTTGGCGTGGGAATATATGACTTTGGAGTTAGGGGCTTATACTTGTAAACATGCAACTGCCAATATTTAGTATGGTCATATATCCATCCACTGCCTTGGGCTTGATATTTGTGTATGGAAGCATCAATCTTTAAAAGTGCATTTTCAATTTGAGGCTTTAAATCTCTCTTCTCAATAGTTAAGATAGTAAGGCTTCTAAAATCCGCAATACAATCTTTCTCATTAACTAATTTTCCATTTTGATCCATTGAATATTTTATAAATTTGATTCTCCTAACTAACGTCCATTTTATCGGAAGAGGACAAGACTTCAGAGTATTTTCAAGGTCAGCTCTAATCGATTCACCAACAAATTTAATCATTGTGTATGGACATTTGATACAAGAATTGACATGTCTTCTAAAATGTCCAACAATATTTTTCTTACAAAAACTACAACTCTTGTGACTTTGTAATATATGTGATTTTAGAGCAATGTTACTATCACAGATTAAATTACAAACTTTACATACCTTCATTTGATGAATTACCTTGTAGTGGCGAATCAGGTTACTTTTGGTAGAGAGCGACACGGAGCAGTGTTGACAGGTGGGCCTCATGGTCCAGAATGAAATATCACCCGAATGTCACTTCTATTTATAGACTTTTCGAAAATTTCAAAATTTTGGAAATTTTCTAAATTTTCCGCTAGAAATTTAAAATTTTTAAAAATTACTTCAACAGATCCAAGACTAGATCACTAGAGACAAAAAAAAAGCAAAGAGCAAGCCCAAGTGAGTGACGTTTTCACAACATCACCACTAGAGGCAAGAAGCAGGAGCATGCCCGTGACCGGGAGCACACCCACGCCATGAGCCGAGTTCGCACATACATGATTTTGAAATAGAAATATAATATATCAACTGGAAAGGGGAATGGTAGATGTACTAGCAATTGTGCATTAAATCCAAAACAATCGAGTAAAATATTGTGTACACATGGTGGGGTGCTATGGTACAATTGGGGGTTGCTCCTCATCCTGCTGCAGTGAATAGCGTTTTTACACTACTAGTTTCAACTAAGTAAATCATTGAATGTTGCAGTGTAACAGTACAGTAAATCAATTAAATTATATATACTATAGTTAACCTTTTATATCAGCTAAATAAATGTATAATTGAATACTAAACCAGTTTAAGAGGTATAATATGAAAAGAATACGATAATACTTCATTCACATAATATCCACTAGTAAGGTATTAAATGTATAGGTATTTAATAATATAAATGGAGTAAGTGCATTTTTAACACAAACATGCACACTGCGCATCTGCGATGCTAAAAAATCGAGCAGTAGACACAGTAAAATCCATGAACCGGCAACCGGCAAGTTGCGTTCGACATGTACAATGGGAAACAAAACAATGCCATTGTTTGCGCTTCCGTTGGTAACGCAGATTGTTAGGGCTCGCAATTGCCGCTAGGAGCAGCACACTACTAGGCTAAAAATCTCCCACGCTAAACTCCATATGGCTGCCTATCTCTTTATATTACTTCATCTATGCTATTAGTAAGACAAAGTAATAACATATTTTTGCTTTAAGGGAATAGAACAACAATTAATTAGATATGTTTGTGCCATGTTGCAGAGTGTTAGACATGTTGAGATTCCACAAGTTCACCATCGGCTGTCTGTGGGTGTCAGACTACGGCAGCTCTGATGATCCTAAACACTTCAGCAACTTGCTCAAGTACTCTCCCCTCCACAACATCAAAGAACCACCAGGAGATGTGCAGGTACCTGCTGATGAAATGTTTAACAATGTAGAACCAAGATGGGCCAGTTATTATGCTTCACGTGAACTAGGTTTTGTCACTGGGAAGAAGGGACAAGATGATGCTTTCAGATGTCGGCATCTGCAATTAACCATTTTGTGGAAATAAGGATAATAATATGATATTTAGTCACAATACTGTAATCCTGATTAAATACTACAGATTGTGCCATTTGTCTCCAAGATAGTAAATCAATTGAAACAATTGTCTGATCCTTACTTCTCTGTGGTTTAAAAGTTCATGGTGTTTTTCGGTGTCAACCATGTCGTCACTAATACACTATTGCCGACGTTTTGCCCTTAATGTGAAGTGGCATCCTCAGTGGCTAAGCTGAATCTCTCCCATTGAGGATGCCACTTTACAGTAGAGTGAAACATCTGGCAATAGTGTATTTGTTACAACACGGTTGGCATTGAAAAATTCCATGAACTCTTATGACACCGACCGCAAAAGCCTTTGTAAGAAGATTCTCTGTTTTTTTTGTTTAATTAACGTACTTGATGGGACCTAAAATGTATTGAATATTTTTTTTTTAACTGCATAATTACTAATCAGTGTCAGTACATTTTGATAGGGGTGTGCGAAGCAGCAAACAATTCTCGATTCGAAGCATCGATTCGATTCAAAAGATTTTCAATTTGAATCGATGCAACTCGATTCAAAGCAATACAGCATTTTTCTATCCATACTTGTAAATGGAGTGAAATAACAATAACTTAATTTACCACATTTGTGTAATGCAAATTTTTGTTGATGTGGTATTAGCCCTATCCATACATATGACATATATGTATGGTGAAAAATATTTATTTTCAATCATATTTTAGAAGAACCTGTATTGCTAAAAATGTCAGTGAGCTGCTTTATTTGCCTATTTCATAATTTTTACTTGCAGAATAATATTGTTAATAACTGTTATGTTAGGCCTACCTATTTCATAATATTGTTATAACAAATAAAGATATATTTTGGTTTTGGTGTGAACAAAAACATTTGTAAGATTTATACTGAAACTGTCTATTGGTTTACATTTTAAAATGAGAGGATAGAATCAGACCTACAACCTACAAGGTATACATAGCTTCAGTTCATACCTACAAAAATATCAAATTTATCAGTATAAAACACCAGTCTTACTAGTTAAGTACAGTATCAAGTAGGCCTAAACATTTTTCAGACTTGTGTTATTTTTAGAATGATTTTGGAGTGACTTGTTTTGGATTTGTTTAGGCTGGGTGCACACTGATCCAGCATTTCACCTGAAATGCTTTTTTCGTTGAGCAAAATGGTGCACAACTATTTGCTAGAAGCGTTTCGTTTTTCTATACTAAAGTATTGTTTTGACATAAATGTGACGAGAAAGTTAAAGTAGCTATTGCTGTATGTCAGCTTTTGCAAAATGCTGACTAGATAGAATGACAACATTGCGTTCGCCCAATCAATTTGATGATAGACAGTAAGGCTTTCCTCTCAGAAATTTAATCAGATCCAGGGAAATTTTACAATTATTGCCGAATAGTTGCTATACTGTTTTTTGGGAAAGGTTTTAAATACCGTAAGAAATTATTATTAGATAATGCCGTGATGGTTATATAAATAATTATTAATGAACTTAGTAACCTTGGTAATTATTTTACTACTTTGCATGGGCTCTATGACTGACTATTAAAGTGGTAGCAAGATAAATGAAACAACAATATTGTTCAATGGAAATACAAAATATAATTGTTAAGTTTTAACGAAACTTCAAAATTCATTTTTAAAAGAATAGTTATTTTTTAAACAACAAACGTTCAATTGAATTTTGAAAGTCACTATTACTAGCTAGAAGGGATTTGGCGCATGCGCAGAACGTTTTGCTCCTTGAAACATCAAACATCGTGCTGTATGGGATCCATTCGTCGAGCAACTGCTCAAATGTTTCAAGGCGTTGCGAGGCACCCTTGAAATACATGGGACGCTCGTACCCAGCGAAACATTTTGCCTCGCAACACTTGCTTCAGGTGAAATGCTGCATCAGTGTGCGGCCGGCCTTACAGTAGTAAAACATGTCTGACACTGCTTACACTTAACAAAACTTCTCATCACTTATATCAGGCAGTGCATCACTAGATTTTTTCAAAATTAGTGCTCTGTGTTGACCCTTAGTTTGCCTAGGAGGTGTTTTATTTTTTAAGGATAGAGTACATTAAGCTTATCTGAGAAAAAAAAGTTACAAATTAATTAATTCTGGACCCAAGAGCCAATTATTAATGAGCTATCTTGTAATGATGCTATCTAATCAAAGATTGGCATTAAAAGTCCAGTGTTTGGACAGTTCCTTTACAAAAAATAATTCAAGTTTGCTGTTTCAGTACCCGGCCACTCTGTTGATGACGGCAGACCATGATGACAGGGTGGTGCCTCTACATTCACTCAAGTTTACAGCCTCACTACAGCACGCTCTCAGCGACTGCAATAAACAGGTGTGGAAAAACCTCCCTAATGATTTATTTGGTGACTTTACTTCATTCATTCAACTCCCACTGGAGAATAGTGTTTCAACAAGTGTCTTCCACTGGTCCCTGTCAATTCTTCCCAACTCCTTCCTATCTGTCTAGTTTCTCTTTCAATACTTGGCTTTCAATTTTCCTTTGGCCTTCTTCTTTCACCTTGCTGAGACCATTCAATTTGCCCTTTTTTCCATGTCTTTGGTTACCTCAGCGTGTTGCCTATCCATCTCCACATCTTCTTCATTTATTTATTTTTAGGGAGCTGGTCGGTTATCTTAAGCAATTCTTTGTTTGAGATTTCTGGCCGTCAATAGTCAATCAATAGGATTGTTCAATGAATTTGTTTTGGAAACTGTGATGTACCATTTTAAACTGAAGTACGTACGTGGAAGACCACTTAAATATCACTTAAAACACACATACAAACTCACACACGACACATAACAATTTAATTACAAGTTAAGGGAAAAGTGATGGGCGAGTAGTGTTTTTTTGAGTCGAGTCGAGTCGAGTAATTAGCCCTAATACTCGAGTATCGAGTCGAGTCAAGTTGAGTAGTTCATGAGAAAATCAACAATTTTATTTTACATATATTCCATCTTCATTTTTACAAACAAAGCATTTCTCAATTCACCAAAATAGATCTGGTTAAAAACTTTTATACCATATAAAAACACAATGTGTATGTGTATCAAACTTATATTTTGGTGTTAAAGGTTTATTATTAATTGCAAAAAAAATTTGCAAAAATATTGTGACGCAAAATTTAAGGGGGGGAATAAACTAGTATTCACCAAGTCAGGCTAGGCCTACCCCTAGAACTGGCCACACTCAAATTTCTTCACCGGAGTGCTCAGAAGGAGCCGAGAAAAATCCAGGGGTCGATACGAAGTTGTCACGGCTTTGACTGATCAATTTATTAAAATTTAATCGAAGGCTCAGAGCTCTAGAAGCGCTCAGGAAATCCTGCAGACGCCCAGTAGGAGCTATATCATCCCAGCCTTCGTAAAAGTGTTTTGGAGAATTTTGCCTAACTTTTGGAATGATTCTGTAGGGCCGACGAGTATTCAATCTTAAGCCAATGTGATTCAATTACTCGTAATGAACTTTAAAATAATTAACTAAAGGCCTAGGTAAATAAAATAGAAAGTAATATGACGTAAAACCCAATCCCTACAGAATCGTCGAGGCCTAATTAATATGATCGAATGGAGAATTTATCGTGGGATGATTTAAAATAGATTTAATATTAATATTCGTAGCTGTTTGATTGTTCAAATCAGCTGCTCCCAAGACTTGATTCTTTCACCCGCCAAAGACGGGGTTTAGAACTTAGATGACAAGTCTCGGGGTATTAAACGTCGAATCGATTAAAATAATTTAAGTAATAATTCGTTAGGCGAACTAAACAAACGTAATTTCGTGGACAATTAATTTAATACGAGCCGAAAGATATCCACCGCTAGTCACTGCTGACCGGCAGGAACTGGCGGGTCAAGACTCCAATCGTTGATAAAATTTAGACAAATATAATCGAACTTAAAACGGGCGAAAATAAGTGGCAGACGAGTATACGTATGTTAAAATAAAACAAAAATAAAATGAACGTTAGAAAGTCTAACAACGAAGTTAGCTAACCTGAATCAATAACGTAGAATCGTATGGCGTGATCGTAATTTCGCAAGAGCTCCTTGTGAACAAGTCGACGGTTGAACAGCGAAATCTTGTCCGGCTCAAATCATGATTTCCTCGGTCGAGGCTTAATCGCTCTGGTGGTGAGTTTGAGAACTAGCCAACAGCTGATCGGAAATTCACCTGTTGAGCCGGTCTAGTTGTCGTCTGTCGTTGGTCAACAAACACCATTTCGAGGTTAAGTGATGTTGTCATCGGCGTTAAATATTCGTAAAATCGGTCGTTTTAACTTTATTATGTGAAACGAAGTGCTATTATGAATAAATATATCGTTGTGGGTGTGTTTGTGTACTTCACTGTTATTAAAAGTAGGCCTACGTTCTTTGGCCCATAAGCCCAAGCTATGGCCAACACATAGGCCTAGGAGTAGGATGTTGTGGATAAAAATCGGTTAAGTTATGGTGTTTGTTGACTATCAATACGTTTTTACCCCCCTTAAAATTTGGTACCTCATAATATGGAACTAAGTGTTTATTTTAAAATAGGCCTACTGTAAATGTTTGAATCTGACTAAAGCATGAGGTCTAATAAAGTTTCCTCTAATTTATAAATAGGCTTATAAGTATTTATCTAAGTCATTTCTCAGTTTTTGTATTTATTTGAAATTCCATGAAATTGTCTTAGTTAACTCATTAGTTTATATTTTTTTTTTTTTTTTATTACGTACCTAGCCTACATCTTGGTCTACAAATACTCTTTGTAAGGTAAGTTTTTTTCCCCCAAGTGAGTAAAAACTAACTTCCTTTATAATGACATTTTCTCACTAATTATATATCTTCAAAATTTGTTTAACTATGAAAAAGTCACCAAGTCTAGCTGAAAACATAATCATAAATGAAGATATTTTTGAAATACAGAATAACTAATCAAACAAAATTTTTAACATTTTTATTTCTCAACTTTTTTCCCTTGAAAATGTCAACAGTTTTTCACTTATTTTTAATAAAGATTATCACTTATAATTGTTTTAAAGAAGTCCAGATGTGTGAACTTGAAGAGCAGACAAGAGACATACGTCACTGCCACAAAAACTCTTCTCTACTGTGAATGAATGATCTGTTTATTGTGTGAAGCCCCACCCACCGTCTAACGGGACATGGGGGAGGAAAAGAGAAAGTTTGGCAGAATTTGCCCTTGTTCTAAAGCCTGGTTCACATGCCCTCCCTCACCCTCGGCCTCAGTCGCTTGCAGATTTCCATTACACAAGAGTGTTAATTATTTTGAAATACTGTAAATGTTTGAATTTGACTATGATGAGATCTAATAAAGTTTCCTCTAATTTATAAAATGGCTTAACTTTTTAAGTATTAATCTAAGTCATTTGTCAGTTTTTGTATTTCTTTTTAAAAGCAATTGCAGTTATACATTAAAAAAATTACAAACATCTTGGCCTACAAATACATTTTGTTAGGAGAGTCTTTTCTTTAGTGAGTAAAATCAATCGTGGTCAAGGAATGAACTGTGCTAAAACAGCACATTGTCAATGTTTACAAAAGTATTTTGACTGAAACCCTGGTATTTTTTAAAGACATTGCATAATAGCCTATGTCGACGTCTGTGGAGAAAAGTATGGCAATAGATAGGTTTTACTTTTAGCATACAATAAAGATTATGTTTTGGGACTAAAATCTCCAAAAGACCAAAAGAGTGCTTTTAACAAACATTTCATAGTTTTATTTAGTAACAAAAGTGTTTGACTATGTTCCCGATTATACCAAGAACAAGGTTCGGCAGAGTGGATTCACTGTGAACCGGCCTGCCTGGCCCTTATGCACGACGTCACTATAACCTCCGTTTACGGGTGTCAACTATGGATCGGAACAATCGAAGTTTTGAACCTGTCTGTAACCTAGTTTTTTATACTTAAATACTCATTATTTATAAACAAACACGTCCTACATATCGGATCTCGAATCACGATATTTATCGATACCCTTTCCACCCAATAAAACATTAAACGATGTCAAAGCAATCGTCATTTGCTCCATTGAAACACAAAAGTCGATTGGCTGACACGGTAGTGCACTGACGCCTCCTGACCAATGAGAACTGTTGTTACATACTTTTATTGTCTACATTCACCAATCGTTACAAAACATTACAAACAAACATTACAAAATCGACACGGACTAAGGCTTATAATATTTTTCAATAAATACATTATGTTATAGTAGCACTTAAAACTTCACTAAACTCTTTAATCAGGTAGATAGTACAGATCAAAATATGGATCTACTTTTTGGCGCAATATAAAGCAAGCCTAACCATACGACGATGTTAAAGTTTAATGGTTGAATATAATTTTTCTAATGATGCGTATAATGCAGGGATTATTAAACTGAAAATTTCGACGTGTTTAGGTTATTTATTTTGTACTAAAAATAAAAATAATGCATCTAAATGTCTGACTTATTGATACAGACATTGTTTAGTATAATTAATTTCGTGTTGGCAGGACATTCGCGCGCCGGTTGTCTCTTGAGTTGAGTCTGACATCTTGAAATGTAGATTAGTAGATTGTGTTGTGCAATGCTGAAGCTAAACATTGTCACCGGCACCGTCGCTGTTTTGAACTAGATAGTTTCTAAGTTGGCTATGAAAATTGTTAACCGTGATGACAAAACTAATACTGTAGCTATACAGTAAATAAATGTTAAAATCAAATATTTATCCCTGTCGGATGTCGGTATCATCGGAATCGACTTTTGACAATCGAGTCTTGGTACCGATACCAATGTCCAAGTATCGGTGGTATTGATGACGATAATCGAATCATCCCTTTTTACTAGTAGAGCTGTATCGTGACGTAATCGATGCATCGGGATTTTGATGCATGCTGGATCGAATCGGGATTCGATGCATTGCACTCGCACACCTACACCACTGCCTATCACCCAGTGTCAGCTCAGCTGTCGGCGCTGTCGCTGTCAGTGAAATGGATGACGCAAGCGATGTCTAGGTTGCCGATTATTAGTAGGCCTAGTATGTCAATATTTAAAGGGGTTAAGGGATTAAATAAAACTCAAACATTTTCCTTTCTTACTATGTATTTGTCAAATATCAATGAAAATAACTAAATCGGCTTAACGTCTACTACTCGACTCGAGTCACGAGTATCTTTAACTACTCGACTCGACTGTCGAGTATTGCCAACTACTCGAGTAATTACTCGACAGTCGAGTACTTGCCCACCCCTAACGATAATAACTCTTGGTTTTTCCATTTTCACAAATACAACTCAAGTATTTGTTTTGATCCAAACGTACCTTGTGGGTTGTGAACTGGCAAATAGCCAATCAAATCAAAGATATAAACCGTGACGGGTGTCTACCAGTCATGGAAATCACTGAAGTCACAGAAAAGTCAATGTTTTTACTAGGGGGTCACCAAAGTCACTGAAAAATAACGGATTTTCATTTTGAGGAAAGTTACAGAAAAACTCGGGCATTTAACTAAAAAAAGTTTCCCAGACTGTGAGTAATGATTGAATTCATAATGCAGAATCAAGTGCGAGCATATTTTTGGAGCAGTTTCACAGCTTAAATCTTGAAGGCAAAAATATTGTATGCCCGACCATCTCATGTTTAAGTCACTGAAAGAAAAGTATTGTCTTATTTGACCAAAGGTCGTGTGTTTTAGCGTTGTCTCCCCCCCCCCCTCCTAGTCACTAAAAATCACTGAAATTTAGTTTGATCAACTGATAGACACTCTTGTGTCAGTTTGAAAAAATGGCTTATGCCTTCAAATAGTGTGCAGTAATAATATGTTCGATATTTTACCAGCTTTATGACATGTGTAAAGTGTGTTACCTTTTTAATCCCTCGTCACATTGATAAAATAATCTCGTTTTTATTTCAGACAAATCCACTTCTTATCCGCATTGAAACCAAAGCTGGCCATGGAAGGGGAAAACCTACAGCAAAAGTGGTAAGCCGTCCAGAAAAGTTAGTTTACACTTTAATTAAAATTTTTTCATAGGGTTACTTTTTTTAGAAAAGCCGTCAATGTGTTGTTTTATAGATGCAAAGTGAAAGTTAAGGGGTAGCGGAATTCTATCCCCGGAAATTTACACCATGAAAAAACACCATTTTGACATCACGAGGGGCGGGGCCAATACATGGTCAAGAAACAGTCCGCAACTGGAAATTTACTCCCAATATATTATTAAATAATCAACAAGTAATTTTTTGCTTATAAAGTGATTTGCCATACCCTACCACAGAATTTTACTCCCAGAAATCTACCCCTGGAAATCTATCACCCGTGGTTGGCTACGCTACTTATCTGCCAAAAATTCATTGTTGTAGTGGATTTTATTAATTGGTTTATGTAAATCAACGGCTCTTCGGCTGATCATTACCTTCTAATATCAAGTATTAGGTTAGGTAGGTTAGGTTGGGTTAGGTTAGCAATTAATAAAATCAACCACAACAATGAATCTTGGCCGATATGTAGCGTAGCCGACCACGGGAGGTAGATTTCCAGTGGTAGAATTCCGAGGTCAGACATTTCTGATTTGACCACTGGGGGTAGATTTCCGGGGCTAAAATTCTTGTGTCAGGTTTATTGGGATTTTGATTAATTAAAATTGTTAAGTCAACCGTGAAATGTGAGTTGATTGAAATAAATAATAATTTATCCGTCCTAAAAGTTCGCGGCCGGAAATCTACCCCCAGACCTGTGACGTCAAAATGAGGTAGTTAGGGTTAAATGGGGATAAATTTTCGGGGGTAGAATTCTGGCGACCCAAAGTTAACATTCAATGAGTTACATAAAGTTAGGTATTGGATGGTTAATACTTCCATTTTACAACAGGTAGGGAATGTGAGAGAATATTTTGTTGAAATATTAAATTTTTAACAATCTTATTTTGTAATATTTTTTTCAGATTGAAGAGAGTACAGACATGCTGTGCTTCCTTCAATTAACTCTTGGAATGACATTCACCGACTAAACAGAACTACTGACTTGTACTGTCCTTTCTATGGTTTATTAAAAGTATTTATATTGTCAATTATAAACAGTTGTAGTTCTTTGAACCAAGTGGAATCAAGTAACAAAAATCGTTCATCTCCCATTGGTATAGTGGAAGGAAACAGAAGACCATTAGGCTGTGCTGTAACCTGCTAGCTGTAACTTGACCATGAAAGATTAGATGGCCTTAATCCCAAGATCTCGGCCGGTTTTGAATACCTTGAAATCCCAGGATTTCTGTTCTTCAATCCTAACATTAACGGGATTACAAATCATATAATTTTAAATCAATTTTTCCTAATTTTAGGAGTTTTGCTTGAATGATATACAAAAAACACATTTGACAAACATAACGTGAGAATTTGTCTTTGGAGTATTGTTCTAATACAAAACATAAGCCAGAATAAAACTTTCTATAGACACAATGTTTAAATACACCAATTTCATTAATAAGAGATTGATGTTTATCATTCTATCTTTGTTATTAATTCTAGAGAAGAGCTTGCCCTGTGGTCGAAAACTCGACCAAAAGTATGTATTGTGCAAACTTCTCTATTTTCAACCCACGCTGTAAATAAAACATGTGATTGGAATTTCTTTAATTTGTTTTTATTTTCTTTGAATTTGTTCTTATAAAAGGGATTCTGCACATCTACAGGAAAATATCTTACATTTGGTACCAACCGCGTGTAATTCGGTCCAGTAGTATGGTCAAACTAGCTGTCATAAGTTTTGGAAAAGATTTGAGTATATTATAAGATTAGTGTGCAAATTAATTGCTTTATGACACCAACCACATGAACAGATGTTTTGTCATTGTTCTTGAATCGTTTTATTTCTGTCGACATAAAATCGTTACCGCTGCAGCTGATTCTTCCCACAACTTATTATATTTCATCCTTATATTTTGGTTTATTTGGGTATCTATATATTAATTTGAAACTGTTTTTCTTTGTCATAGCTATTTTGAGAGAACGGCTGGGCGTAGAAACTCGGTAGGGGTGTCTAAAGAAAGGTCTTGGTCTGTAGATGAGCCATCAAAAGAGAAACGTGGTAAATTCCCTCGGGGCTCTGCCCCAGTGGCCTTTTAAGTCCCATCCCATGCTATTCTTATGGAAAAACGGGGTTTTTGTCACAGCTAATTTGAGAGAACGGCTGGGTGTAGAAACTTGGTAGGGGTGTCTAATGAAAGGTATTGGTCTGTAGGTGAGCCCTCAAAAGAGAAACGAGGTAAATTTCCGTGGGGCTCTACCCCAGAGGCCTTTAAAGTTCCCTCTTCAGATTTGTTTACATTATGACCATATGCATACATTTACACTACTTTTGAATGAAACAGCTGTTAATATTTAAATTGTGATTTACTAAATTTGTCAAAATGAAGTAGACTATTTGCAATGGGTTTTTTTCTGATTTTAAAATCGATTTTCTTCTGCATCGTGTCATGTTTTGCAATATAATGTTCTATTACCAAATCAGTGGAAAATCCTAATATCACTGTAACTCTTAAAATTATTTCTTTTGGAGTTAACTTAAGTGATGAGCGATACGGACGCGTATCGGAAAAAAATATCGTATCGCCGCATTGAATTGGCCGTCTGTATCGCGATACGCGAATTGTATCGTCAAAAATATCGAAAAACGATACGTATCGTATCGTTTCCCCCCTCCCCTACCTAACCTAGAAACGGCAAATTTATATAAGTACCTGGGGACCAAGCTTTGCTCGGGGAAAATCATTAGTATACTCTGAAAACAGTCTTAGTATTGCAGATACATTAATCCATTTCCACACTCCACACTGCTCGCCTTTACTACTTCCTTCACAACTCCCTACGTCTTGGACCTGTTTCCCCATCCTTCCGATAGCATTTTCAGGGTTGGTACGGTCAGGGAAAACCTGAAAATGTTATAACCACTCATTGCCACCCAAATACCTTAATTTAATCAGCAGGATTAATCAGCTGATTGGTGTCCGGCAAAACTCATTACAGTACAGTAGTAGGCCTACTGTATGAAACCCCATTTGATTAAGCTGGCGACAAACAGCTGTTTTCTGGACTAAATCCTTGCATGTGAAGTTCGTCAAAATAGTGTAGTGTGGCGTAAAAAAATAATTATATATCTATTCTAAGACTAGTAAAATTTGTTTGAAGCTCTTTCTAGATTCAAGAAAAGACAATAATAAATACAATTTAATTAATCCAGAATCATGTGTTTCAATTCTTGAAGTTAACGTAAACACATAGCCTATCAAAAACCTTAATTAAATTGTCACAGTACTGTATGTCAATTTCTTCCAATGAATAAATGACCCAGGCATAATTATTTGGGAGAGCCAAAATATTATCACAAGCTTTCTTGTTGTTGTTCATGTTGTAAAAATAGCAAAATTATTATCATTATCATAATACTGGGTTTTTATGAATCAAGTATATATTATAATAAACAAACCTAAAAAACCATCAATAGGTCCTCAAGGCAATGAGAATATTTGAGAATGAGTTCATAATGAAAGGTAAAAACAAACTCAAATTGCAGATACAATTTAATAAGCCAACCATAATCCTTTGACAGCAGTTGGCATGGAGTTGTTCTCACTGTCAAACATGATACGAATCAGAAAGTGGAAATCCACATAAAAGTATCTATATATTTTATAGCAATTATAAAATGATTTATTAATCAAGATAAAATGTCAAACGGGATTTTGATCGCATAATTACCCCAGTAATAAATTAAGGAGGTCGTAAAAATTATCTGATTAATCTTTTATGTGCTTTTAACCAACCACTGGCTTGAATCCCCCCCAAAATCATAAAATCCCCCCCAAATAAATTTCTGATGTCGCATTTTGCGACATCAAACCCCGCTGTGGGCACCCCTGCTAGATAGCACGTTAGTGGAAATGGACTGGACTGGTACATTATCAAGTAAAAACCAAAAATACAGACGTAAAAAACTCCTATTTCAAACTACACATCCACAGAGTACAGATTTTGCAGTTTGCTCGGCCTGCGCAAAAAAGCTTAAAAATATCGTTTTGACATGAATCGTATCGCTCTATGTGCCGATATAAATACAAATATCGTTTTAGGCGATACGATACGTATCGTTTTTCAAATATCGTATCGTCCCTTGCGTATCGCGATATTCCGATACGATACGATACGTATCGCCCATCACTAGAACTTAAATCTATTGTATGGGTTGGTTTCTGCCTTTTTTACCACTTCTTGGAGATTGCACGTAGACGATATTCTTTGGCGTATTGCATCTGTAGTAGACAATACTTGGTTGGTGTAATTTTTAAAATTACAATAGAAAACAGTTAGAAATACTGGATAATTTGATATTTAAAAAATAAAACTGAATTAACACTGTGCTACATTTCTTGAGCAATAATTGAAAGAGCCGATTTGCAAACAATGGAAACAGGAAAGTCATAGAACACAACCAAGTACAGTAGAAGAAATAGAAATCATGTTTTTTTTTTCATTTATAATCGTTATTATAGACAACCTAATGCGGCTATGAGTGGGGAAAATTTGTAGAAAACACTAAAAACAAGGTCAGCTTTTGAAAAAAGATAAGATATTTACAAAAATTTTTTATTATATCTAACTGCTGTGTACATCTTGAGTATTTCCATAATCTTTGAGTCGACTCTTATATAGTCATCGGAAATTATGACTGTTGCTTCGCAATTGCTCGAATTCGAGCAACAGGTACACTAGTTGTATTGAACAGCAATATTTGTTTTGTAATTTTTCTCCATTTGTTGAATTATACAGCTGTGCTAATTATCAAGTTTACTGAGTGGAGTGAAAAGTAGTGACATTTTGAATATTTTTATTTACTTGCGAGTGATGTTGCTTGTGTTTTCTTGAATGTGTTTTTCGTAAGCTGTAGAATGACTGAGAAAAATGTATATGTATGTACTGTGCTTAATACGGCAGTGAAAGTTCCTTGTAGTACTGTAACTTTTTGCCTCCAGTTGTCATACAAAGTGGCACTTTGTTCATTAGAATTTGTTTGCAAAATATCTAATTTCTGAACATTTTACTTTGCTCAAAATTTCGCTTTGTTCAGTTGTCCTGAGTGAGGATAAGTGGTGGACAAAGAAACATTTTTATTTTGCTTACTACTACTAACTTACAGTACTTGTAAACCTGACGAAATTTAAGATTTTTTTGAAATAAACAGGAAAGATAATAATAAAGAATAAACACGAGGCTTCTCTCGTCATACAAATTACTACTTTGCTCCCTAGCTGCACAATTAACTATCAAACTTTCAAAGACAGCAAAATGAGTATAGTTAAATTTGCAAAGTCAGATTAAAACCATTAGGGACCTAGCAAAGGGACTCCACACTTATTTGAAATGGCAAAAATGAAAATCATGAAATAGTTGAATCTTTGGATTGATCCTGGGATCTTGGACGAATTCCAAAATTATTTAATGGATTATAGTTGCTTGTGAATGTTAATGATAAGCCCTTGAAGGAGCAAAAACCTGGGACAGATTAAATTTCTCAGAGGCTAATAATATTGCGCTTTTAGCTAATTCAAAGTAATTCAGTTACATTTTTTGTAAAAATAAGCAGTACACATTATTCTCTAAGGTAGTTTTTACTATTGAAGCTATGCTATGTCCTGTAAGTAATTTTAATTAAAATTTAATGAAAAACTTGACAATACCACCCTCTTGCAAATCAAAAGAGTAAAGTTGATTGTACAGTATAAAATAATTTGTATGTTTGATAGGTACCAAAGTTGTTTCTCTCCAGAAAGTAAAACAATCTTACAGTTAAAATACTTTGACACTGGATTAAGCAAGAACAACAGCTGCAAACCGAAACAAGGGAAGTTAGTTTTTGTAAATGAGTGTAAGCCGACTGCCAAACTTTGTTGGGAACTGAGCAGAATGCTTCTTGCACGAGCTTTGTTACGACTTAAGTCTCACAAGTTTTGCAAAACTCATATCAAATCTTTATATTACCTTAGGCTTAAATTAGACTGACTTATATTAACTTTATATAAGGTGGT